GTCGTCAGCGTATAATAAAGACCCTCTCATCGATGATTCAACGCATAACTGGAAACCTTGAGGTGAATCTTTATCCTTTAGACAACTGAATAGGTATTCCAATGTGAGCGTGTTTTTTACTTTCAATCAATTCGTGATATCTCACAGTTATCTTCCAAATTGTTGTATAAAATAGAATCGATTGTGCTGGAAGCATCTAATGATTAATTCTGAATAATAAGACAAATAACCACCAAATACATGTAAAATCTTTGAAATTTATGAATTACAAACTGTATTTGTTATGATATTTGTCCTTTAAGTATCACGTGATAAGGTAATCAGAATACGACTTATACAATCTTGGCACTATGCTATACCAATAACGTATTGACCGGTATGAGCAACCTAACGTCTTATTTGGTCTTTTTTTCCTGACGGTTGAGTCCAGAATACCATTCTCAGCCTCCAGGATATGAATCATTTATTTCAAACAGGAAACCCTGTCGACTATCTTCAACCACCATCTAATCTCAATATATAGTGCACGCAGTGTCGAGTCACCTAGACTGGTGGTCACATTGCAACATAGTCGATAGCATTCAATCTGCACTAAATAAGGAATTGACACACATGACATTGATCACCACCCAGTGATCAATCAGTTGTGATACTTAGTGTATATATCAGCCAAATAGACTGCATTATACCATAAAATAGGAAATAAAATTTGTACAAGATCAACCCAAAAAGTGGCTATGAACGTCGGAGTCTGTAAACAATTGACTGGGCATAATTTAAGAACAGTGAATCGTATCATAATAATCTACAGGTCAAAATGAAGCTTAGAATAACAGGAATATGAATAAACATAATCTAGTTACTGAATAGTTAAACAATGAGAATATATGTATAATATTAGTCCATTAACAGTTCTCAGAAGTTACCTATAAATTAATCTTCACTATGATATAACAGTATTGACGTATATTATTTTGTTGCTAATACAGCAATATTACTGAACAACAAAACCAACTAGCATTATGTCAAATGCTTTATACGAACCGATTAAACTAAAAAGGGACTTTCGTCTTCTGTTAGAACAGGTAGTATTTTATAAATACAATTATCTCTTTGTAATGTTATATATTGCATTTTCAGAATTGTATCCCAGTTTAATTAGTTGTTCCATAGTGTAGGAGTAGGTCGGAAGTAAGCTAGGGGCGGCCAGACCAAAACATGGCACAAGTCCATGAAGTCACTGACAAGTGGACTGAGTTATACTCCGAGGTGTAGACTACCTGGTTGGGATCCACGAGACGATAACAACCGATGGTTAGAGACCTTGAATGACATGGCTCAAAATTGTTTGCAATGGCGCAGGTGCATACACTCTTTGCGTTCTCCCAAATTCTAATCTCCTGAACCCTCCTTGTCTCTTTTTTCTCTTTGCAAATTTATTTCACTGTATTATACTCCTTGAATAACATCTTCAAACCCTAATCTTTCCGATTACTGCTTATACTTTTACTACCTCTACCACTTCAGAATTTGAATCGACAACTGCATTTCTGTGCTAATGTGGTATGGCAACTCGGACTGATTTACGTAAGTACGAAGTTCTACCTTGTTGACTGACTGACTTTTAACTGGTAATTTTCGTAGCACAGTGGAAAGTTATGCTGAAGTAACTAATTAATAACTGATTCAAAACAAATGTTAAACTGAACGATTACCATATTAGATTTATCGACAGTATTCATACTTCTAATTACTTCTTTTCAAACCTCAAAACATAGTTGAATATTAGTGGGCAAATCTACAATTTTTATTTCTAGAAAATACGCATCAAGTTGTAGTGTCAGTTATTATGCCAAGCCCATATACCTTATCCGAGCTTTCGGACATCCCATTTTATTCATTCTGCTCGAGCCATACTTTGACCTTGTAAATTATTCGCTTATCAATCTAGACAGTTTTTATATGAGCGTATATGTGTGTGCCCTTCTTATTCCATTAATCACATGTCTGTAGCTTTATTTTGTCTGACTATAAATATTGAGTAATGCCTGGTTTGAAAGGGTGTTGGCATCCCAGCCATCTTCCCTGCGCTCCATTTGCTCTGTTCTATTACATTCACTTTACATACAAAATATATGTATTCAAAGGTCATTCTCGTTAATTGACTTATCTAAATTACGTTATTGACTAACGTGATTTAAGTCGACTATGATATACGAGAATCAGCGATAGCAAACAAGCATACAATCATAAAATGTAGTCGAGAACAACGGGCCACAAAAAAGTAATAAAGACTAATAAATTAGTGCTGGTTCAATAGCTTATATTGTCAGAGAGTCAGTCTTAGTGAACATAGATCCTAGTATATATATGCGTTACAATACCATATTAGCATAGTGAGATCAAAAATAACCAGATAAATAGCAAAAGAGAACGAAATAATATACTACCAATGATAATGAGAGAGACTAAAAGTTGATGTTTATTGAAGTCGAAAATACATTCATGAGATGATATTGCAAAATATCTCATAAACTAAACTCCTACATAATTCAGTATAGGGGTTGTGGAGATTAAGTTTTTAATTGAGATCATGGACCGATTGATGGACGGCCGTTTCGTCCTATTGTGGGACGCCTCAGCAGTGCGCATCCAAGACTCCGCTCGCGGGGTTCGAGCCGATGCATAAATCGTTTCACGTATAGCAGCTCACATATACTCGAGTTTGTTGATATGTGATTCAGTCAAGCCTTTTTAGTAACTTATTAGGTCACTCGTATAACAACAACTTACCTATACCATTGTACCTTTATTATGGTTGAACTTGTATGAATATGTATGCTAGAGCATTGCTTACCGCCTAAGCAGATATTCATTCTGCTAGCTTTAGTGTTAGTCGCTTAAATAATACGATGGTTCATTCATTTCCCGATGTATACATAATCCTATTCATGAACTCGTTCATTTGCTCTTCTACACTCGCATAACATTCTGGCTTCGTATTCCTGTGGTTTTTGTGATATGTGCGTGGTGCATTAATAAACGTAATCAGCGCCTCGTATTCGTCCTCTGATTTATATACCACTGGGCATTATCTGGTAACGGTTTAATCGTATACCAACCGTTGCGTACGTCTATATGTGGTACCGCAATTCAGATCCAAATACGAACGAGCTGTGACAACTAATCGAATTACTCACCTAACCAAATTTACCAGAGATATATTTCTATTAAGATCACTACTATGGGTACCTGAACTGGATATTGATTGTTGTCAGCGACATAGAACCTAACATATATGCATATTACTACAGCGCGATTAGATTATCAAGACAAATCTCAGTCTAGTAAAGGTAGTAGTAATATCAGTAGTATTTAATTTGTATATTGTAACTGACGACCATGCGTTAAATCTTATTTACCACCCAACTAAACTATTTCTTCGATCATCCGCTTTCGTGGTCCAGAAATGGGTTTTCGAACTGAGAGCTTACGAAATATCTACTGAGTGGCTAAAACACACTACATGCAGATATTCTATCACGCTATTTATATTTCGAAAGACTGCCTAGTTTGAAAATTGCATGTATGTACAGCAGAAATTGTAGAGGATACTCGTAAATCTTTTGAAACCGTCCTAAGTGCGGTGAAATGAGGTTAGAATGTTCAATGCAAGAAGTTTCCTGAGTTTTACAAAAGGGGAAAGGACATATCACTGGAGCATTTTGTGCTTTGACAATAGAGTAACTACTCTCCCCACACTTAGATTCGTAATATTAGACGACCTTCACTCTACCTATCGGGTTACAAAGAACAGAAAATCTCTTGCTCATCAAACTTGGTGACCTGCGAAAGATGCTGATACAAGTCAAAAATCGATAAACTGTCCTGCTTGTTTACATGAACTATCGTACAATAAACCTACTTGGAATATTCGGCTTTCATCTTATGAATCGTGGAAACGTAATAATGCAGATCACTGTGTCCCATTTAAAAACTCATATGTTGCTTTAATTATTGATACATTTTCCATAAGTGGTACTCACAAACAGTCCTAGCGGAAACTTTACGCAAAGAGGATTGATGATAGTTGGTTGTGAAGAGACACTCAATATATTAGTAAATGATGATAAAACAGTTTTCATAGGAAAAGATTTTAACAGCTGGCTTAGCGATATTGGATCCGGACACCTAGTTATAGCTCCAAGACATCCGCAGTCCAGTAAATTAGCAGAAAGTTACGTTAGTACATAAAAGTGTTATTACATCAGTAATCTAGAAGAGCTAGAAAATACATCGGAAATTTCTTGCTTCAATATCGTAATGTAGAATATTTAAGAACTTACGACAGCCCAGCTAAACTCTCTAAATCTCGCATAATCCGAACTCATATAGTGGATAAAATATCATCAGAAGTAGTTTTACCGAGAAAATAACTATCGACCATCTACGGGAATTATAATTCACAAAATGAGTAGTTGGATGGAAAGAATTTTCGGTTTGAATGACCATTCAGTTCTCATCAGACATATAGACCAAGTGAAGATTAATGACGTAGGTGATTCCAACTTAACCGATCATTCTCTAATCGATCTTATTTTAAAACTTCAGACGGATAGTGTCAATTTTAATTCTTCTGGTTAGCGTTTTTTTGGCGAGTTAGTTTTCTATGGGATGGGGTCGCTAACCCCATGCTCAACCCTCCTCCTTTACCGGGGCTTGGGACCGGTAGTAGCCCCAGTGGGGCTCCAGGTGGGGTTTAGGAAGAAGCAATCATAACGATTCCTCATTATTAATTACTCCGAATTTCGGACAGATGGAAATGAAAGTCATAATACCAAATAATTGAGATATGAAAGAATTACAAATAAACAAAGACTACACTATAGACATATAACGAGCCAATGTGTGGCAGTTGTGATGAATAACTAGTACATTTACTGTACAAATATTTTATAATATTCTATAATCTACTATAACAGTACAATGAAGTTTCATTATGCATACTTTAAATCCGACTTCTTGTCGAAATCTTAGCCTTAACAGGATTAAACTATTTCGAATCCACGAAAACGTCAGGCAAAGACAATTTGATTCGAGAAGATTAAATTCACGAAATAAAATAGGAAATTTTAAAAACTAGAGTTTGAGGAAATTCAGACGGTAGACACATCTATGGCACTGTGATCAGTTGCACGCTGTGTCATCTAATGTCTCCAACCATTTGTCGGGATAACTGCAGAACACCAAACTAGTTAGTCCCCATCTGCCAACATGGCTCAGATTAACATTCAACGAATTTATAGACTAATGATAAGTCTTGCGTTGGTGATTCCTAGCTTCTTTTTAACCTTCCTCTACATTAATAAATATTGCATGTTGAAATAGAAGGTAGTTAGGCATGCGAACCACATATCGCAACCAACTCAATAGACAAGGATTCACTACTTCATTCTATCTACCAACCGAACAGTAGATCCTGAACCGTCTTAACCTGGATCTACTTTAATATGGTCGAATTACATAACTTTTTAATTATACAGAAAACTATCAATATACTTACTGTATAATTAAAATAATGTTCAAATTAACTAAGAGTATCTGTTTTTTATGCAGTATTATTTTATCAGGCACTTTACACCCTTCTCCTCAATTACCACTTGTCAATAAAGTAACAATCACATAAAGGAAGGTGACGCTTATTGCTGAAATTAAGTAATAATAGTAATAGTAATAAGAATAAGAATATATAAAAAACTACGAGATAGGTGGTAAACTATTTACATAGAATATATATATATAAACAGTATTATGATCCATGGAAATAATTTTGATATGCTACCCCATGAATACGTCGATTATCTTGAGGTGTCATATTGACATCATTTGGAATATAATAACTAAATGGTTGACGATCAGATTGTTTCATCATAGTCCGTGGCATATTTAACGAGTCTTGATAATGATGATGACGTTGACGATGATAATGATGATTTTGATTCAAATCATATGGATGATAATTGTGATGAGATCTCTTGTTTGAAGAGGAAGCAGGCATTGAACAATATGGTGGAGCATTATTTTGTTGGTGTTGTTGTTCTTGACCAGCTAGAATGGATCAATTATACAACAACAATAATAAAGGAACAAGAAGAAAAAAGGCTGAACACAGAAAGTAATTATATCAATAAACAAGTTACGTAATCAAGATCACGAAATGATTGATTGTTAATTCAGTGATGGCTTATGTCTATTGGGTGGGGTGGTGAAAATCATCGAGTTTCATAATTTATATCACAAACAAATGTTAAATAGAAATTTCACAAGTTGAAATCATGAGTCAATTGAAACTAGACCTCCATGGAAAACCTGGAAGCAATGGATGGCCGTTTCGTCCTGGCATGAGACTCCTCAGCAACTTTTGAAATTTCTAAAAACAATCTCCACCAAACCCATTCTGTTAAATAGATAGCCAATGTAAACAAGGAAGTTCAAGACAGCTCTTTGTTTTTAGTACGAGACATTCTCATAGCGAGAACCTTCAAACACACCATGATCTAAATTAGGATCTTCAGGTAGCGGTTGAACTTTAGTCTACTGAGTCATCTCCATAATTCAGGTGTAAGATAACCAGTGGCAATGAAAGATACTTGGTCGAGACCATGAAAAGACAGCTAATAGTTTATTTTATTCCAAATTAATGTTCTATAGTATTTCACTTCCGAGTAGTAGAGCTTTCCGATATAGATGGAGAACAACGCAAAACGTCTGGTCCACAATACAGTGGAGCATCGCAAGGAGATGCAGTCTCATGGCAACCGGTGACAAATAAATGATTCATACGCCATTTTTTCTTTCAGGATAATGGGGCCCATGAGCACCATTGGTTTGGAATAAGGGTTTTCCAACTCCACTAAGTGGATCCTCCGTATCCACCAACCCGGTTAAAGCGTCAGACATTCGCTTTTAGTCCTCTAAATTTCGTAAACAACACTCCCGCCACGAGAATTTGGGGAGTAGGAATTCCCTTGTGGTGGTTTCATGCACATGGTCATGTGAGAGCATTTCGAGAGGGAGAGCTGAATATTCCCACACTCGACTGTATCAGCTCATTTGTGAGCAAGTATTTCGTGGAAAATCGACACTTTCTAGGTTAAAAATTATATATTTTAAGTGTATGTTGCACAGCTGAAGCACACAATTTGTATAATCGTAGGATTAAAGGTATTTTCACTCTAAGCAACAATCCAAGCATGTTCGGGATGCGATTCTCCCACCTCGAAATGCAAAATGTTGATCCAGGATTGGATTGCATCGATGATAGGGAGTGAAGTAGTTGAGCGTGTCGACCGCTTCACTTATCTTGGAAGTCTCATCAGCCCTTGTGGTCTGGTGTGTGACGAAATCTCAGCAGGGATACAGAAGGCTCAACTAGCTTTTGCCGACACGCGTCATCCATGGCGTAGGCGAGGTATCCGTCTATCAACCAAAAGAGGTGTTTACTGAACAGCAGTTCGTTCCATCCCACTTTATGGCAACGAAACGTGACCGGTAAGAGTAGAGGATATTCGTAGGTTACTAGTATTTGATCATAGGTGTCTTCGAAACATTGCTTGTATATCCTCTGTCCACCGGATAAGTAACGCAGTTGTTGGGAAACGGGTATTAGGTAAGGATGGCAAATCAATTGATGAAGTAGTGAAACTTCATCAGTTGAGATGGCTGGGACACGTGTTACGTATGCCCAACGACCGACTGCCTCGACGTGCTATGTTCAGTGGTATAGGAGTAGATTGGAAGAAAGTAAGGGGCGGCCAGACCAAAACATGACACAAGTCCATGAAGTCACTGACAAGTGGTCTGAGCCATGTTGGTAGGTGTAGACTACCTGGTTGGGGACCACGAGATGATAGCAACCGATGGTTAGAGACCTTGAATGACATGGCTCAAAGTCGTTTGCAATGGCGCAATGGTGCATCCACTCTCTGTGTTCTCCCAAACTCTAATTTTCTGTATTCTTTATGTCCCATTTCTTTTTCTCTTTCCAAATTTGTTTCACTGTATTATACCCACTGAATAACATCTTCAGACTCTAATCTTTCTGATCACTGCTTATGCTCTTACTAGTTCTACCACTACGGGATTTGAATCGACAACTGCATCTCTGTGCTAATGTGGTGTGTCAACTCGAACTGATGTACGTACCTACGAAGTTCTACGTTGTTATTGACTGACTAATTGACTTTCACTTAATAACATTCGGAAAACCTCCACAAATTTACTACTAATATCTAATTGAATATCAACATGACTCATGTATTCACATTTGACAGAACAATTAAAACCATTTAGTAAAGAGACAATAACTGGATCTGTAAACAAACAAAATTTCAACAATAAATATACATTGAATCAATGACTGACTTACATGTAAATAATAATAATTCTTTATATTGTGTTGCATTTAATTTTAAAGCTTTTTCAGCAGTTCTATGATCCATAATACGACAATTATTAATTTTCTCTTCCCATTTTTGACGTAAATCAATTAATTTCTCATTGAATTGTTTACGTATTAATTTAATTCTATCAGCGCATAAAGATGTTGGCCATGTTGTCCAAAGTGTAATAGCTTCTTGATAAGATAATTTTAATTGAATAGCTTCATCATCTAACCATGGAGCTGATTAATGATTATTTTGTTTTGTTTTGTTTTATTTTTAAAAAAAACATACATATAATTTAATTACATGAATATTATGTAAACAATAAAACCTATTCACAGTTTTTGAAATCATGAGTCAGTTGAAGCTAGACCACCATTGAAAACCTGGAAGCATTGGATGCCGACTCAGTGGTCTAGTGGTTAAGTGCTCGCGCGCGAAGCCAGTAGGTCCTGCGTTCGAGCCCCGCGTGGTGCGGGATCGTGGATGTGCACTGCTTAGGAGTTCCATACCAGGACGAAACGGCCGTCCAGTGCTTCAAGGTTTTCAATGGTGGTCTAGCTTCAACTGATTCATGATTTCAAAAACTGTGAAAATTCTAAAATTCTCCATAAAACCCATTCTGATAATAAAATCTATTCAATTAGACATTAATCAAAGAATTAAATTGATCTTTTCTTTTCAATTCTTATTAGGATTATGTTATATCCCGATGAGTATAATCTGAATGATAACTTTTTGGATCCATTTATGCACCAATAACTATGCGTATACTTTTATTGTATAAATGTTAAATAACTAAACTATACATATTTGTCTCCCTCTTATATTATGAGTTTTATTTTAAAATATAAACTATTATACAGGTTGAAATCATGAGTCGATTGAAGCTAGACCACTATGGAAAACCTGGAAGCACTGGACGGCCGTTTCTTCCTAGTATGGGACTCCTCAGCAGTGCGCATCCACGATCCCGCATCACGCAGGGCTTGAACCCAGGACCTACTGGCTTCGCGCGCGTGGACTTACCATTCTTGAGTTATACCCTGTCTATTAATTACTATCTCCCTTTATTCACAATCCTATTTGGCTAAATCTTGTACAAATGTTGTTTCCTATTTTATGGTACGGTATGGTCTTTCTGGTCGGTATATAAACCGAATATGTTTGAAATAAATGATTCATATCACAGAGGCGAAGATTGTTGTTCTGTACTTAATAGGCTTGACTATGAATTAAGCAGAACTGATAAAGACTCTAGACTGCTCGTACATGTTTTATAAGTTATTGGTTCGGTCGATAAATCACTGTCCTCTAATTGAGGCGGTATCATTACTTTATACATTAATAGGACACAGGGCACAAATTATAACAGATTAATCAAGAGAAAAAATGTGTCAGTGACACAGGTTTTACATGGACTATGACAGAATCGGTAATTAAATTGAACGAATAGATAAAATATTCCTTTTAAACATATTATAAGTTTTCACTATTAAAATCAAAATAATACGTTAGGATGATTGGATTGATTTGTATCTTTCGTATGTTTATGGGCTGAAATATTGTCTGATCACCCAACCAAAATAGTTAATGCCCAAGCTCTTGACCTTATAGTTTAATCTATAAGACAGATGAGCAACGTCAAGAAATTTCATGCCATTGTGGCTAGTTTTAGATAATCAGTTAATACGCTACTTCCTTTCTTTAGGACTCTGAAGCCAATACACACTATCCATTTATAATAAGGGTTTTCCAATTTCTCTAAGTGAAGGCTCCGTACCCACCAACCACATCTAAACCCATGGCGTTAAATTCTCGCTCTTTCGCTTTTAGAAATAATGAGTAGAACTTTTTTGAATAGTATTAGGTAGGAGGATATACTTTTCGGTAGATTTATCAAAGATAATCAATATTTACTTATTTGAGCAAATAAATATTGGTACAAATGAGCACCACGATATATATATATATATATATATATATATATATGCCACACAATAAGATAATGTGGTTGTGAAAAGATAACGAAAGCTATAATAAGTGAAAAAGACAGTAAATAAATAGAATTTAGCGAACGAGAGTGATATACACTGAGGAAGGCGGTTCCGCTAAGCCAAATATAATCAGGAAGGATGTTTTCAGTTACAGAAGTTATCAATATCTATATATTTATTGAAACATATAGATATTGGTACAAGGGGGAACCATAGATATATGCGCCACATAAGTTACTCGATTTTATGTGAGGTCTGCGATGCTATCCGGGTGTCCAGACCGAAACAGGTGGTTTTCTTAGGGAGCCACACCTGGAGCCTTCCACCTAAAGGTCTAATCCACAAGGCAGTGGAGCATCGTAAGGACATGCAGAACCATGGTAGCTAGTAACCAACGATTCGTTCATACGCCATTTGTTCCCCCAGGATTCTGAAGCCCATGTGCATTATTGGTTTGGAATCAGGGTTTCCAAACTCCCCTAAGTGAATCCTCCGTATCCACCAACCCGGTTAAAGCGTCGGACATTCGCATTTCGTCCCCTCAATTTCGTAAACAACACTCCCGCCACGAGAAGGCAGTGAGATGGACCAAAATACATAAGTGATGCTTTGAAGAAACCCAGGATCGAATACTAGTAAACTACGAATATCTTTTATTCTTAGTTGTTGTGTTTTAGTATTAGGCGCTGAGAGGTCGATAGCATTCGATCTGCAGTAAAAGGACTTGACACACATGACATTGATCACCACCCAATGATCAATCAATTGTGATTACATCTCAGTCCTACAAGAGGTCGGTCGCGGCCCGGATAGCCTGGTGGTAACGACTCTGACTGTGAAGCTGGGCGACACGGGATCGAATCTGTCAGAGAGCACCAGTTCCCTCAAGACTACAGGTACACCTTATTGACGAGTGCCAAGTAGCATGAAACCCTGGTCCAGGGTTTTCTGTTGACTACCTCCAACCACCATCTAATCTCAACAGAGGATAAGTGCATATTACTAGGGAATTCCAAAATGCGGTGGAAAACTTTGCCTGGATATTATATATTTCACTAGTTAACTGATTAACATTAGTTTGAAATAAATACAACTTATGTTTATAATTTGTAAACTTGCCATCAATGGTATTTCTAAGATTTCGATTATCCTCTAATAAACCAACGTCCATCATACGTTGTCGAACACAATTATACAATTGTGAAATGCCAGAAACTTCAAGTTTAGAAGCTTCTTGAATCATAAAATTGACTCTAAACAAGAAGACAATTACAATCAAATAATATTTACTAGTTTTAGAATATAAATTAACAGCTTTTCCACAAAAAATGGCAATAAAACATCTAGTAAAAGGGCAAATAAAATTGTGACTTGAATAAACCAGTTTTCTTAAACCTGCTCATATTGATTTTTAACTGTTATTGAAATTCCGCTCTAACATGACTTCCACAATCAAACTAGTTTTCTAATTTGGTCTAATTAAGTTAGTCAGTCACCAAAACGTAGGAACAGGCACATATATGCATCGGTCCAAGTTGCCATACCTCATTAGCACAACTAGATGAACACCAAATTCATAGAAGTAGTTACTTTAATGGTAGTAATATATTAGAGAAAGAGTTAATATAAGGATGTGATACAGGAAGACGAAATTACTTTGTAGAAAGAAAGGTATAAAGTAATCTCAGGTTTAAGGGAAGACAAAAAGTAGTCTAATTAAGATTGTAGTTATCAGTATGGGACTGTGGAGATTGTTGAGTTTTTGATTGAGATCATGAAGCGACTGATGTTAGAGCGCCACTGGAAACCCGAAAGCACTAGATGACCTCTCTCGTGGGATTACAACCCAGAAACTTCGGTTCCGCGCGCGAGAACAGTTAACGTCTAGACCACTAAGCCGGCATCCAACGGTGTTAATGTCTAACTTCAACCGATCTATGAAATTGCGCGACTATCTTCCATTGTCTGAGGTAAATACCTTTCTCTACCTTATACGTATTAGCTCCACTGGTCACGGCCTCTCCGTGTCAGGTACAGACAAGCGTCTACCTCAGACATTGGAAGATGGTCACACAATTTCGTAGGTCGGTTGAATTTAGACATTTACACTGTTGGATTCCGGCTCAGTGGTCTAAACATTTTGCTTCTCTCTCCTCTTCGCTCCGTTTTTCTGATTGTCTGTACAGATCAACCATTGTATGTAATATACGCATTCAAACTTCATTCTCATATTTGGCTTAGTTAATTCCGTTATTCACTAACGCGAGTTAATTCTATAATAATATAAGAAGGTTGATGATATGTATAGTTTGATAAAAATCCTTCACACCATCCAAATATAGTCAGATATTGGACCATTAAAAGATAACTACGAGATCGTTAACCAAAAGATAGTCACTTTGCAAACTATATTAAAAACTTGAAAGTGGTGCATATGATTCTACACAGATGTTCAATATACATATTTTTCTTTGTAGTGCTACCACCGAAGTAGAGTGACCTTATTTGGTACACAAACATCAGAAAAATTTTACAAACATCTCTGGAGAAAAATGGATGTTCTATTGAATGACTATAAGTAGGGAGAATCTTCAAATGATAATGTAAAAATACCACTGTCTAATAACAATTGGATCAGATAAATGACCACTTGTACTTAATTACTGGCTAACTGATGTGAGGGCGATGGAACTAATGATTGATTGTTTGCCTAGTAAGACCAGTAGATAGTCGGACAGGTATTAGTTGAGTTATATATTTTCCTACCCTTATTATTATTATGATTGTTGTCAGATATTGGCGTAGGAATGTACTCACGTTCCAGTCAGACCGATCACGTGCTTTTGATCTGAATTGTGTCGACGTCCTGTATAATAGACACTAGGAGAGTATCCAGTATGGATATTCGTCTAACCTAAATTAGCGTCCCATTTGTGTGAGAGAGAAAACCGAGTGTTATTTCACTAACAGAGTAGAGAGTAAATAAATAATTAAGGGTCCATCCGTTTGATTTAGGTTCTTTGACGGTGAATTAATTTCACCTGGTCATGATTAGTATTTCAATAAACCGGCAAAAAATTCAACAACCCGAATCAAGCAGCTGAATGACGCAACACTAAGGTAGTCTCCCTACTGACAAAATGAAGACATAGTAATGTATCAATCTAAGTGTCTCCACTTTCGCACAGTAAATAAAACGACGGAAATAATTAAATTGAACAAAAACGATAAGAGTAGAAGAAATAATGGTAGGACGTAACTTGAATAGCATAATCCAATTTTGTGCGGATTTAATTTCAAAAGTTAATAAAACTCACCTAGACGAGGATGACTTTTTGATGTCCTCGGGTAGCTTCTCGTTATCTTCAGATGGCTTTTTGGTGCCATCCGATGACATGTTATCTGTAGGTGTGAAAATTTAAAAAGAAGTAAGTGCCTCTTAACAATAAGACTAAATAAATACGGTCCTCTTTAGGAATAAACCGATGATTTTCCTTTGATAAAAATTTTAAGCAACAAAACAAGAAATAATATTTATGAAAAAAATTCCATCCAAATTCATTTAGTTCTGGTCTTTTTACACATGTTGATTCTAGAATAACTGAGTGGACCAGTGTGAAGTAACCTTGTTGAAACTTATCAGATTTACTTATAACATTAAGTGGAACATTACAAAGTGGGTAAAAAGACGACATAATAGTTGTGACGAAATAAAAATAGCAAACGCACTAAGGGCGTTGGCCTACAAAGGAATGAAAGCATGATATACTGAGATGATGGAGAAGATTCGTAGCTCAGGTGGATGGTTTTGATGGAGTTTTGTTCTCTGAGATGGATTATTTATTTATTTATTTGAACACATAAATATTGGTACAAGAGAGCGCCAATATATATGCGCCACACATGGATAGAGAACAGCTGTGAAACGCATATGGAGAAATTCGAACACTTCACTTCTATCTGAAATTTGTGCTGATGATGTCGTTCAGAAGATCTATGAAAGCTCCACGACTAAACCGTCCAGCTCAGAGAACAAAACTCCATCAAAATCATGATACATTGGACTCACTTTAATATTTATGAAGAACGCTCGAACAAAACAGCACGATGTTTGAATTAATGAATCATTTATGTGAGAGCACGAAATCATAGAGTAGTGTCGTATTCCCCTGTAGATCTGAAAACCGGAAGTCACGATGATATTTGAGCAATCGATAGGCTTGTTTTCGCAACGAAAATACAAAAGCACTGCAACCTAGGATATGAAACCGTTAGTTTACCATACAGACCGAGATCTTGAGTGCCACCGCTTGAAATCGGCTCCGGCAGCCTATAGTTGTGTAGTCGATTTTCTCTTTACCCTTCAGTTATACTATTATTTCATGGTCTCCATAATTTTGACTTATATTATTTTCGACCCGTAATCCCTATATTTTTTGTTCTTAATTATTATAGACCACGATTTTTCCAGCTTCTTGCAGATGATGGGATATGGCTACGTGAACCAATATGATATCGTACCACATCCTACGTTATGACTAAGATTTAGTTCGGCAAGAGGCATGAAAACGTGAAATGAAATTTTTAACAGCAAGTTAGGCAAGCGGCTTGTTTAACATAAATCACATTTGTTTATACATTGTTTGAACCACTGATCAAGCAGACTTATTGTTAATACAAATGCAGATGAACTGAATGATGCCTACAACTATTTAATTTTCTAATATCGAACTAACTGACAAAGTACACCATTACTGAAGCAGAAACAGATTTAGGAGTGAAAGTTGCATTAAATTTCTCGACAGACTGAAACATACCCACAATGCTACCCTAGGTGACCAACAGCATTTTCATTTTATGAGTCTTCACTTGGTATTTGTCAACCAACAATACGAATGACAGCGGACAGAACTATAGAATAAGAAAGAATCATTTTTACGTGTTACTCTAGTGGTTACTACACCTAATATGTACTAAGTCAGGATCAGTAACTCAGTTTTACTTTGAATCATCAGATAAAACATGTTCCTCATGCAGTGCCTAAGTAATTTTTCGTAATCGTTTGATTTTTGAATGTTCCTAATATATAAAAGAATACTGTAGGAAGAAATAATGTGTCGAAAGTTTAGAGAATTTATTTTCAAAGGAACCTGTTAGACTCCCATTCTGAGTAACAAAATACACTGCAAAATTCTGAAAGACGGAACTCCATCCCCGTCATCGATGGAAAGAGCTTATTCTTATAGAATATTATTGTAAGTAATTTGCTATAATCGAACAACCCCAATCCGAAAATTGGACACGCGCATGATTTAGGAAAGGTTGGTGCATTTATTCGTAGCATCTTACCAGATAATCCTACAGGAGTTTCAGTCAAAAAATTAGTAACAGGTAAGAGGACCGACGAAAATGTTGAACCCCAACCATATAGACCCCTTAAACTAATCCTAGGGTCGGAAAAACAACGAGATCTTTTGCTACATAGCGTTCAAAGTCACAATATTACCGACATTCGAGTAAGACCTGATATGTCTCTAAAAGATATAATAAAAGGACGGTACTAGTTGAACTAGAAACCTGCCGATAAAATGGTGAGGAAAATCTCTGTTTAGTGGGTTTTAGAATAGTCAGGACTTGGAAGCGGATGCTACCAAGGTTTGGATGGATAACTCGCTCTTTCTAGGAGTTTTAAATGAAAATGCTTGTAGTCTAAGCAATGAATTCAAAAGACTAGGAGCATCAGTGGACAAATTAAAGCTACTCAGTGTAACTGTGACGAAAATTTGATTAGTCCATGACTTCCACGTTACTCCAGAACTATCCGGATACCACTATCTAAGAAGTGAAAGGAAGAGATGCAAGGAAGTGTGTGAGGTCTTTGCATACATACTTGATAATATAAATATCCTCTCCTCTGATTGTGAATTCCATGATAAAGGAACTTGTAAAGTCATTAGCCGCGAACTCACTATCGAATGTTGTACATTTATACTCGTTGTCATCTATCGTAGCCCAATCTGTTTAGCTGATGACTTTATTTTGGAGCCCTTGAGCTATGAAGTGGAAATATCATATGACTGATATTACATCTTAATGCACCTGACATTAGTTGGACTGAGAGGACCAACGTAGGACCTGTAAACTCCTTCGATAGTAGGTTCCTGATAACGGTAATGGAGCATGTTTAAGTACAGAATGTATCCGAACCCACAGGTTTTGACTCAGACCAAGGATTTTTTATGTTAGACTTAGTGATCACTCATAAGACTGAAGATATCGCCAACCTAAATATACTTCCACCATTAACAAGTAGCGATCATGCTATTTTTCATTAATGTTTAGAGCTTGTGACTCAATATACGATCAGTTTAAAGCTCACCCAAATGTATGGAGAGCAAACATATCAACCATTCACGAGTGCGGTGGAAAAAACAGACTGGTCATTAGATACTAACTGATCGGTCGAAAAATCATGGTCTATTCTTAAAGGTAAGCTTAATTCAGTTACGTTCTTGTTTACACTATGCTTACTACCACGTAGACCAAATAACTGTCCACCATGGATAACTAAACAGGTCGAGAAACTTCATGGACATAGGAAAAAAAGCATTGGGACATGCTCATCTCTACAGGTTTACGACAGTATAGACGTAGTTATTGTAAGACTAGGAATGCTTGAAATGCGTTGATAAGGAAGAGTAAACAGTTATATGAATAACAACTGACTAGGGATTGTAAAAATAGTCCGTGAAGTTTATTATCGTATATAAAGTGGCAAACTCAGAGAAGTGATTGAATCTCACCACTTTTGGTAGAAGAAAATCTATTGATACTGGCAAGGGATTATGCCAAAAAGCTGAAACTTTATCAACATATTTCAGTAAAGTGTTTTAGACTAGCAATTAGGAATGAACAACGACGCTTGTCGACGGATCCCGTAGTTATTGCGAAAGGAATGGTCTTAAGATTACTTCATCTCAAATCAGATAAGTCCAGTAATTCTGACGATATTCATCCTAGGATTATGAAAGCCCTATCGGATGTAATTGCTGAGACTGAAAAGAAGCAATAATTAGTCCGGTGTATAAGGCGAGGAGTAGAAAATTAATTAGCAACTATCGACCGTTTAGTCTAACCAGTGAAGCTGTAAAACTAATGGAAAAGATTATTCGGATGGCTGTTATAAATTATGTGGAAGGGCATAATCTTTTACCTAGGGAGCAACATGAATTTCGGGAAGGCCTATCATGTTTGACAAATCTCATTGCAAAAGAAGATTGGGTTGTGGCAAGAGATCGAAATATTCCTGTATATGTGATTTTCATAGACCTAAGTAAAGCCTTTGATAAGGTCTTCCACTTTGATCTTAAATTAACGCTGTAAAGTTTTGAAATTCATTGTTGAGTCATAGACTAGATAAATGACTTTCTTCATGACAGGAGGCAAAAGGGTAAGGGTAAATGGGACTCTCCCATATTAGGAACGTGTAAGTAGAGTTTCCCAAGGTACAATCCTCGGTCCTCTTCCGTTTTTACTTTATGTAAATGAATTATCAACTGTAACAAAGTCATCCGTCCTACTCTTCGCCGATGACATCAAGATTTGGACACCCATACACCATATGTCAGATAGAATAGTATTACAGAATGATCTCAACTCACTGGTGGCATGGATAGACGAATGGTCACTAGAAGTGAATCTTAACAAGAGTGTGGTGATACATTCAAATACCTATGATGATTCACAACATTACACAATATGCGGATTCATTTTACCCGAAGTAAAAAACTATAAAACTTAAAAGTCATAAAAAGCAGTGAACTCAAAACTACTGGTAACTGTAAGAATGCTTTTGTAAAATGCTTTTGGGTACTATGTGTTATTTGTAGGTCTTTTCAGTATATGGATGAATAAATGTTTAGATTATTGTACCCAACTATAGTGAGGCCGCATTTAGGATATGGGGTTCAGGCAGCTAGTCCTTGTTTCAAGTATGAGGCGGATATGTTGGAATGAGTCCAACGACGAGGGACTAAAATAGTAAAGTCTTTCTGGCCTATCTTCAAATGAAGACAGAATGAGACACCATAACCTATTTCCGTTATCTTACCGCAGATTAGCCGCACCTTCTTTCGATATATTCAAAACACGATTGAACCTCCACAGTGTTATAAACTGCAAGGATCAATATAAATCGATAGATCCCTTATTATTACCATTGAAGCCCAAATACTTACCAGAGTGACGCACTAACTTATAGATTGCGCGAAGTGAATAAAATAGTGGTTAAGAGACATTGGAAGTTTGTTAGCTTTGAGAAACATTGCTTAAAATGACGAGGTAACGATATTACGATAAGACAAAGGTTTATCAAAACATGCATAAACAACGGTTTTTGTACCAACAAATATAAAACCACTATTTCATCTAATATATGTGACTACATTCATAAACAATATTTTTTCCCCATCTTTTTAAACTAACATTAATTATTAACTGATTAATGCTCATGCTACTGTCGCTATTCAAACAAACTCTGTCTCAGTCACCTAATCTGCCTTAATGTCCACAGACTGTAGTTGATGATTATGTTTTATTTCATTCTTTTAGGTTTTCTAAACTACGTTGAAGCTTCTGCTCGATTGGCTATTCGACAACGCTATCGAATTTATATTACATGACAGTTCTTTGCTGCCACCACGCACAAAGGAACACTTGTTAATCAAGTGAACTCATTTGTAGTTGTTATCCAAGAAGGAGCTTACAAGTAATATTCATTTCATAACAATTGTTACAGTTTTTGTTTTCGTTGTTCAGTGTGGCGGCGAATAAATCCATAAAACAAACGGTTATGTAATTCTTCAACATTGGTGCTAACCTCACCAATTTTGCTGGACACACTAGCTGTAGGCGTCCGATCTCGCGTCTGCACGCATCACTTGAAGTTACTAACCAGATTAGACCAGACGTTTCTCGACATATCTATAACTTTCCAAATACAGCTTCGAACTCCATTGTCGACTTATGACTTGACTAGGTAGGTATTATGGGGTAATCAAGGTGTTACAGACAAAAGCGTCGTCAAACATTGGTTATCAATGGCATCTTCAGTAGTAAGCCTGATGTGATGTGGTTCACCAAACACTAAAGTGAGTTTCTGTTCATTATTTTAACAAGCATTATCTCTAAGTTTTCGTTTTTTCAGGGATAATACTTTTGCATTGTCAAATTTTTTCCAATTGTTATCCTCAATAATACGGAACACCTAAACTGTATGAGATTAAGACTCTTAGATCCCCACCTGATGCCATTCTATCCCGACAAAGTAGAGGCCTGATTGTTCTGTTCGGCAATGAGTTGGCCACATACATCCCAGCAATTGCAGAACATTATAGCTCAAGTGCTCACTCAATCCCCCATTTAGAATTGGCATCATATTTCCTATTATTTCATCTTAGGTGTTGAAAAACGTTGTGTTTCAAAGATTAAATTCGAGCCCCATCTGTCCTGTTCCACGATCAAAAGAAAACCCATGTGTCACCGCTACTTTGATTTCTTCTTTTGACATGACGAGGCTTGCCCAACGGCACAGAACACTCATGCTTCCACGTAATGGAATTTATTTTCTAAACTACGAGCATATGTGTATAATACTCCCAAAGTAAACATCCTATCCATAAGGCCTAGGTAACATTTACTTTCAGGGCGTGACTATCCAATTGCACACTAAGCAGAATATTTCACTTATATTTCTACGCGCTTCTAGTTTACCTACCGCATCTTTCCTTCACATCCTCAATCTAGAGAAATGTTCGGTATTACATGAGTGTTGATATTATTGTGACACCGAGCAATATTTAAGAAAATATTTATTTGTTCCACGACCCCATTGTTATCTTAAGAAGTCAATATGGTCGACGTTCAAAACTCATGAGAGCCTCTCACCTGGTATTATCAAGTTGTTGACATGAACTCCTACAGAATTATCTGGTAATATCTTACGAGTAAAGACACCGATCTCTTCCAGACGATGCGCGTGTCTAATGTTTGCATCAGGATCGTTTAGTTATAGCAACTTACTTACAATAATATTCAATGAGAATGAGCTTTTTCCAGTCATTTCATGGCTAAATATAGTCTTACTTTCAGAATTTAGTGGAGTATCCTATCACTCGGGATAAAAGACTGTCTGAAACATATCGACAAAACTGGCGGTTTGAGGCCTTTTTCATCCCCTTCTTCGTTCCACACTGTCCATTTCATTAATTGCGACAGCTACACTGCAACTATTTAGAGCTCCGACATTCATACCCAGATATTCAATTCCTACCTTAAAATCGTGACCATCAATATTCAGTGTAATATCACACTTTGAATGATTCAAAACATATTTCTCTTTTTCATGTTTCAAAGTTCGACGTTTGTCTCGCATCATAACAGCATGTGCTAGACTAACACATTCTTAACATTTGTAAGTGCAGCCACTATTATCTTTCTTGTTTGCCAACCCCAGAAGTGTTATCGCCTCCCGGATCAGTAACGTCTTACACGAGCGGAAAAATATACAAACCCCATCGGAGTTAGTAGTCAAGGATATTTTGCATGCGGTCAGACCTAAGCTTGCAAAAATCTTGTGTAACCACCTTTTACATTCATCACATTGTATTTCATCCTCCATCGAGAAAAATTAATTTTAGCGTTTGATCTTAGATGGCTAGCGATTGTTGTGGATGCGTAGCACAGTCTATCTACTTGTGATTTAGTGCGGATGTGTGAACGAGCGCCTTCAGCTATGATGTGTCCATTAAAATCGATGAGACCACCATAAAACATCTAAGACTTGCAAAACTTTATTTTAAGCATATATTATTATATTTATTATGATTATGTATCGCTTCTGATGCTTCAAGGTGCATAAACCATTGATAAGGCTGTGTGGCTGAAAATTTTACCTCTTTTATTGACACATTCAAAAGTGATCTTAATAAGTTATTAAAATACTGAATTTGCATAACTATGATACAACTGGGTATCATAAACAACATACACTACACAAAATATGGCGACGTTGGGCTCAGACAATTCCTGTAACACTTATTCATAAGTGATATTCCAGCTGATCAACATCTTAAATAGAAAACTAAAACAATTTTATCTGCTCTTTATACGGAAAGTCGAGGCTGTAAATAAATACAAAAATCCAGTAATATAACTACTTGATCACAAGTAATCATTACATTTTTGTGATATCACAATGAGTAGAAAAAAATATATCTAACCGTCCCAACAATGCTCACTTTATTTGAAAATATCAAGTCCAATCTTGATATTGGTACCTATTTGATCATTATTTCGTCCCAAGTATGATTTGTGCTTAGAGTTGGACTAGATATGGAATAGTAAGTGAAAGAGGTTAAAACAGTGTCCGTTTCCAATAAGGTAGTAACATTACGTGTCAAATAAGGTAATTGTGAGGACGACCCACGGGTTGACTCGAGGAAGCTTCTAATGAGCCAGAGATATTCTATCCAATCATCTTGTGGAGGAACATCTCAGAATCTCAACGTGTAACCGCCCTATTGGGAAAATGCTAAAAACCACTGTTTGCCGATTGGATGACTACAATGATGATTTCGCTTTTACTTAAAAATATAAATACCTGAGAGTTTTGTGCCATATTGGACAGTGAAATAACATTACACCTTATTTGTGACTTGGAGGGTTCTAGCGTTCGCCTGTTCATGTAGTACGCGGTATATCAAGAATCTAAGACCTCAATATAACAATACTTCAAGAAATACCTGTTACTGAGTTCTACCACGTAGCAATATGGTGGGCGAATTTTGATTCGCCAAATAAGGACACTTTGTGCGAGTCAAAAATTTAATAACAAGTGGATTTAATCGGCCAAGAAATTGTTTCGTCTTCTAAGGAATATAACCGCTTATACGTATTAGTCGGTTTAGCCCAATAAACTCTCATCACTCAGTAGCAGATTAGGGGCTTGAGTATCGGCATCAGTCTCAAACAGAAAGACGATCAAAATCGATAGTCATAAGTCTCTGTATTCTGCCATAGGACTAATAAAGATGTGTGGACTCCTCCATTTTCGAAAATAATGTGCATTTTTATTATCCAATTTTCCATGTATCAAATGGTTCTTTATATCGCATTATTCTCTACTATCGCTTAGATAAACTTAAATTATTTCTTCATTATGATTGATTAATTAGTGTGTTTTCTAATGAACAAATTTAACAAGGAAACTTGCACAGTCAATTAATTTTATGAATTCAATACCAACCCTATAGTTGAAGTGATGATTTGCAAAATGTTAGAGGTCGTTAGGAGTTTGGAGCTAAAAACATTCGATTCAAGTCCCATCTGAACATCGATGCTAGGGTGAATGGAACATCGTCGAAGAGTCATGTGAAACACGAACCCTGAATCCCGCTGATATACACTTCTCAAGTCTGCTAAAAATACTTGTCTTTATGTCAATATCCAGTTTATCTGCTAAGGCGTCACATGTGCAAAAAGAGACCAACCAATAATTCATAATAGTAACAGAGAGATTAGAATCCTATTATAATTATTCGAAGCACATCAATTCAATATAAGCAAACTAATTTAAGGGCAGAATGAATTTAATCCACAATTTGTTAAAATTGGAAACCCCAATATATGTAGGAAACATAGAAAGAATAATTGAAAAACAATAACTTAGTATACACATACAAATAGTATTTTGGCGCGAAAAGGAAAGAAGACTGCAATATTTTGAGCATGAGCCAAGAAAATCATATCAATTGCTCTATTGTAAATTATCTTTAATTATCATCATCGTCAGTCTCATGATCCTCCTCATCGTCATCAGACAATTCACCACCTATATGTTTGATACGATTACTATGAGCCAGTTTAATATTCATTCTTTTCGATGGATCTTTAGTTAATTTCGACTCTAATACGCCTAGTTTGGCTAAATGCCATTCTAATTCTGTGAAGAAAAGAAAAGAAAACACGAAATATGAAGAGGGAAATAAGATTGGATGAGTTATCAGAATATATTGTAGACTGATATCATTTGTAAAATAAAATCATCTACAGAAATTTCAGTTAAAACGAAATAATGAATATTGCTTAATTCAATACCAATGAGATTAATAGAAACTTTGAAACAGTAGTATAAGAGTGTTTTCGATTACCATTAGCAGTCGTAGCTTTCAGCAACGAACGAGTAACTACTAAATATCAGTAATTCTTAGGAAACTATGATGACCAAATAAACAGAACTGACGAACATCCTCGACCTCAAAAGACGAAGTCTCACAACCATAGAGCAAAACTGCTCTCACCGATGCGTTGTAAACCCAACCTTATACAGCCAAAATCTTATCATAACGACGCTAAAGTAGCTCGGAATTGCATAGGCCGCTCAGCCTTTCACGATACACAAAATGATCTAGTCACTCACGTCACCACGAATACACACACAACTATCAGTATCAGGAAAAGATTCCAACAGTGTTGTTGAACCGGACGAGACTCAGTAGACACCCAACTTCCAGGTTATCAGGCTAAATTCCGTAAGGATCGGTCGTGCACAGACCCGATCGCGACACTACGAATCATCATCGAACAATCAGCTGAATGGAACACGTCACTAAACATCAACTTCATTGACTATGAGTAGGTGTTTGATATTGTGGATAGGAGAACATTATGGAAACTTCTTGGACACTATGGTGTATCTGAGATTCCAAACATCATGAGGAGTACATACGACGGACTAAAGTGTAGAAGGACAGCCGATAGACGCACGCCAACTAAGGACCGGAGTCAGATAAGGCTGCTTCCTTTTCCTTTTTCTGGCGGTTGACTGGATTATGAAGACCTCGATATCTGAGAGGAGGCGCGGAATACAATGGACAACTCAGAATCAATTAGAAGATTTGGACTTCGCAGATGACCTGACTCCCCTATACTGATGCATGTGCGAGGAAGCTAATAAATGGTTATTTGCTTAGTCAGAACAATAGACATTCTGGCACGTGTTAGATGAGTTATATATTCTCCTACCCGTATTATTACTGCATTGCTGTCGGCTTATGGTGTAGAAATATACTTACGTTCTAGTCACGTGTTCTTGATCTGAGTTGTGCTGAAGTCCTGTAAAACAAACACTGGGAGGGTATCTAGTGTAGATATTCATCTAAGGCAAAGTAGCGTCCCATTAGTGCAGACGAGGAAGACCGAACGCTATAACACATACCATACACACGAACAAATGCAGGTCAATGCAACCAGTGTAGCAGAAACCTCTGCATCAGTACACCTCAACGTACACAAGGGAAAAGCACGATAATCAAGCACATCACGAAGAACACCAACCCAATCACACTTGATGGAGAAACTCGGGAATAGGTAGAAACTTCCACGTATCTGAGTAGCATCATCGATGAACAAAGAGGATTTGATGCGGACGTAAAGGCGAGGATTGGCAAAGCAAAGAAAGCATTCCTACAGTTGAATAACATATAGAACGCAAAACGACTGTCAACCAATATCAAAGTCAGAATCCTCAATACGAACACAAAAACAGTTTAACTGTACGAAGTTGAAACTCGGAGGACTACTAAAACCAGCAATAAAAAGGCACAAGTCTTTCTAAACAGCTGTCTACATAAGACACTCCATGCCCGTAGGTTGGACATCATCAGCAACAGCCAACTGTGGGAGAGGACGGACCAGCTTCCATCTGAAGAGGAAATTAAGAAAAGATGTTCGAATTGGGTAGAACATACATTGCGAGAACAATCAAACCGCATCACAACGCAAGCTCTCACTTGGAATCCTGAAAAGAAACAGAAAAGAAGAAAGCTGAAGATCACACTACGTTCAAATTTCCAGGAGCTTAATTTTTACCGCGAGATTCACTTTTTGACCTAGAATATGCCGATGACAGTTCTTTTTGGTGAAGATGCTAACAAAATGCAGAGTCTTCTGACCACTCTAAGCAACAATGCAAGCATGTTCGGGATGCGATTCTCTCCCTCGAAATGCAAAATGTTGCTTCAGGATTGGGTTACATCGACACCCGAACTAGTGATAGGGAGTGAAGTAGTTGAGCGTGTCGACCGCTTCACTTATCTTGGAAGTCTGATCAGCCCTTGTGGTCTGGTGTGTGACGAAATCTCAGCACGGATACAGATGGCTCGACTAGCTTTTGCCAACTTGTGTCATTTATGGAGTAGGCGAGATATCAGTCTGTCAACCAAAGGACGTGTTTACTGCACAGCAGTTCGTTCCGTCCCACTTTATGGCAGTGAAACATGGCCGGTAAGAGTAGAGGATACTCGTAAGTTACAAATATTTGATCATAGGTGTCTTCGAAACATCGAGTAAGTAACACAATTGTTAGGAAACGGGTACTAGGTAAGGATGGCAAATCAATTGATGAAGCAGTGAAACTTAATCAGTTGAGATGGCTGGGACGTGTTACGTATGCCTAACGACCGACTACTTCGACGTGCGTTCTTACATGGTGTAGGAGTGGGTTGGGAGAAAGCTAGGGGCGGCCAGAATAAAACATGACACAAGTCCATGAAGTCATTGACAAGTGGACTGAGCTATGCTCGTAGGTGTAGACTACCTGGTTGGGATCCACGAGACGATAGCAACCGATGTTTAGAGACCCTGAATGACATGGCTCAAAATCATTCGCAATGACGCAGATGTATCCAGTATTTGTGTTCTCCCAAACTCTAATTTTCTGTATTCTTTATGTCCCATTTCTTTTTCTCTTTCCAAATTTATTTCACTGTATTATACTCACTGAATAACATCTTCAGACTCTAATCTTTCCGATTACTGCTTATACTCTTACTAGTTCTACCACTATGGGATTTGAACCGACAGTTGCATCATTGTGCTGATGTGGTATGGCAACTCGAACTGATGTACATACATACGAAGTTCTACGTTGTGACTGACTGACACTACGTCGGCAATTGAAAGCAGACATAAAAAGGAAAAAAGTAACTGGAAAGGTTTACTCAGGACAGGATTGGAGGGAAAATGTTGGTGGGTGGCCTGTATTAACGTAATATTTACCAAACCATGAACTATAAAACTCAATTGATAACTTTGTTTTCGTAATATTCGGGTAAAATTACTAATTTACAGACTCATCGAGTGACTGGAATTAATCAGTCATAGGCAACGTAGAACACGGAGTGACAAGATAAATAACAAAGGAGTCCGAGAAATCAAGCAACAATGTGAATAAGAAAGATCAAACATTGAGAATACGGTTTGAACAGAAGAGTTGAAAAGGCATATATGAAGAAATACTAGAACTCAAGATTAAAAATAGATAAAGAGTGGGTACATCGACTCCGGTGTGACAGATTCTAAGCCGCAACACTCAAAGTCTCTAACCGATAATTGCAGTTACTGTGTAAACCACAATGAGATAGTTTGAATTTACCAATATGGACAAGGCAAACTGTAACTAACTTCATGGGCTGGTGACATGTATTCGTCTGACTGACCCTAGGACTCTTTCAACACAATCCTATACCAGCAGCCAACCCATGTTGAGGTAAGCGGTAATTGAATATACGTAATACATACTTGGATCACCTCACTCTATGAAGAATAATGATCGAAATATGATCTCAGACAAGATCCCGATGGATTATTAGCCTGATTATTATCTAAAATAAGTGACAATTACTTAGAAACTCTAGATGGCCGGAATAATCTTTTCTCAATTTGAAGAAAGTTTACATCCCACCGTTTTCATTGCCAAATAACATGTAACAATATCGTTATTATACATTATGTATGATATAAAAAGACACAATTGAACAAACTTCACCTGGTGTATGGTTGTTTCTATCAGCACAAAAAATAGGATTAATGCTTGATAAGTCAGTCAATAAGTGATACACATTGTAGAACCTGGCACATATACACGTCAGTTCATGTTTCAACATCCATTAGCACAATGAAATAAAATTGTTTGGTCGAATCCCAGAGTAATGGAGTTAGTAATAGTATCAGTAGTAATAGAAAGGATTAGGAATCCAAGATACAATTTGCAAAGAAAATATGGATTAATGGAATGAAAAACTTGTAAACTGATCTGAAAACTTAAGATTTAAGAGAAGACAAGGAGTGAATGCACCAGAGTTATTGTGAACGATTTTGAGCCATGTCATCCAGATTTTAACAACTTGTGACGGTAATCTCGCGGATCTCAACCAGCTTGTCTGTACTTACCTGCATGTTTAGTTTCAGTAGTCAATGTCTTAGTGGACTGATGCCATGTCTTAGTATGACCACCTCTAGATTTCCTCCAACCTACTATTAACACCATCTATAATCGCGCTTTGTGGTAGTCAGTGGATGGGGATACTTAATACATGTCCTATCTATTTCGGTAGATGAAGACTCATTACCCTATCAATCTACTTGCCATCTTTACTCAGTATTCGGTATATAACTTCAAAATTAGCAACTGAGCGGCTCCTAAAAGTAAGAGAAATAGTTTAAGGGGACCTATGATTGAGTGCTAATAACTTACGAATGTTCTCTATTTTTCAAGGTCATAAAGTAGAAAAAAACGAAATGCTGTGCGATATACTCATTCTTTAGTTGGCAAACAGATATCTCTGCTATGCCTAGAATCTAGCGTCGTCAATGTATGTTGTGTCTGTGAACACGCATACGGGATCCGAGTGTGGTCGTTCATTTGACCTAATTTAGTCAATACAGAGAACAAGCGCGATTTACTCTCCGTATATGCGGAAACTTGACTGCCAGTTCTCGTGGCCTCGCTGACCTAGTATAACATGTTATATCCGCGAGTATAATGGGTTCTTCTAGACGATTGCAAAGGATGTTTAATTGAAGGAAGGAGGCAAGAAATTAAAAGACTAGTAAAAGCATATAATCCAACTTTTTTCGACTAAGTTTCCAAACGTAGATATT